GATCCACCAACCTAGAAGAAAACACACACTTACCTTTAGGGCAAAGGTGGAGCCCATCCCATCCAAACATGTCTCTTTTTGTGATGTGCTGGTCATTGTCGAGAAAGCCTTGGTGAGGCCGCAGCTGGAGTACCATGTCCAGTTTTGGGCTCTTAATTCAAAAAGGATGTGGAGAAGCTTGAGAGAGTCCAAAGAAGAGCCACGCACATGATCAGAGGTCAGGAAAATAGATCTTATGACAACAGGCTGAGAGCCATGGGACTCTTTAGCCTGGAAAAGTGCAAGCTCAGGGGTGATCTGATGATCACCTATAAGTTCATCGGGGTGACCACCAGTTTCTGGGGGAACGTTTGATCACCAGAGTGCCCCAAGGGATAATGAGGTCGAACGGTTATAAACTACTGCAAGACCATTTCAGGCTAGACATAAGGAAGAATTTCTTTACTGTCTGAGCCCCCAAGGTCTGGAACAGCCTGCCATCGGAGGTGGTTCAACCACCTACATTGAACACCTTCAAGAGTAAATTGGATGCTTATCTTTCTGGGATCCTATGACCCCAGCTGACTTCCTGCCCTTCAGGTGCAGGGCTGGACTGGATGATCTTCCAAGGTCCCTTCCAGCCCTAATGTCTATGAAATCAACAGTACCCCATGGTTAGGGACAGACGTTAAAAAGCCTGAGCCTGAATTGATTCAATCTTTGCAGGTTAGTCTAACCTGGGTAGGCTGAACTGGTTTGTAACTAGACAGACATTCTCTCTGGACTGAGAAAATCCAGGCACATGCCTGTAGTGGCTCAAGCTAGAAGCCAGGGAGTGCTAGAGCAGCCCTCCCTTCCCTTACGTTAGTGCTGAGCTGAGGGGAGGGGGGAGCCAGGCCCCAGCAGGCTGCTTTGATTAGGGAGGTCTGCCTGCACCATCTCAAGCTGTTCCCTGTTGGCTGCTCAAGGGGCAGGAGTGTTGCCAGACCCCTGCTAGCACTCTGAGGCAAGGGGGCTGGGGGGGGCGTGTAGTGTATGCAGCTGTTGATGATATGGAGCTTTTCAATCTCCCTTCCTGCTTCTTTATACTGTCTGCAGCAAACTGACAGGCAAGCAAGCCAGCAGGGGGCTGATAACAGTGTTCATCACCCCAACAGTAGACTAGCCTCTGTCCATTAGTTCAAACTCTTCTTAAAAAGTTTGCCAGATGGCCTCTTGATTAGCTTCAAAAAGCCCTAAGTGGTCCCTGTTCTGTCTTCCTGTCCCAGTGAAATTGGAGATATACACACAGGCACCTCTTGACATCAGTCAGTATACCATATGCCTAGGGTCCATGGGGCTGGGGTACATGCTGTGGGAGATGGGAGGGAGGGAGGGGTGGATTCCTGCTTGAGCAGCAAGTAGCAAGGGCAGGGAGTGGGGAGTAGGGCAGGGGGAGCCAGGCAGACCCTGCTGTACCTGCAGTCTCTGCTGGAGTTCCAGAGAGGGAGGAGAGGGGAGGGACCAGTTCTCCTGTGGAGCAGAGAGTCCCGCCCAGCCCAGAGAGCATGCCAGGATGCTGGGGAAGTCTGGTTTATCTTAAACCAGCAAGGGGTTTGACCCAAATCAGTTTAGCCTGATACTACATTTAATCAGGTTTATCTCAAACTGGTTTCAGCCATTTTCAAACTGGTATATCTGTACTGAACATCTGTTCTGTTACAGCTTTAAACCAGTTTATGATCACTTAAACCAGTTAATGTGTAATGTCTGTCCCTAGCCCATAAGTAAAAGCATGGGAGACAAGCAAACTGCCAATACCCTGAAACTGCTAAAGTAACTAGTTAAAATCCAAATAGTCCTCAAATGTTAGTGATGTTTTGCATTTGACACTTGTTCCAAAGAAGAGGAGAGTGAGTGAGCATGCAGTAGGTACCCTTTCAAAGAGAAGTGACAGCACTGGAAGGGGGTATGTCACATGCTCACCAATTCACTGCCAGAGAAGGAAAAAATTCAAGTTAGGGAGTAAAGGGAGCCTACCAGAAGATGTTAAAGGCAGGGAAAGTGCTTAGAAACTGCAAAAAGCTGGCATTAACTTGCCTTGATGCATAGCTCTGATGAGCTGCTGCTGAGGGCATGGGTATACAAACAATTTACATGAAGCAAAAGGGGCAGGAATCACTCTAGTGCATGCTCTTCTCCCACGAAACATGAAATGCAAAACACAGTAGCCTTCAAAGAAAATTCTTTCATTGAGGAATAGGCTAGTGTAGTTTAGATTTCATCTACCACAGGATAGAAGCATGTACATGGGTAGATACTAAGGACAAGTAACTGACAAGCAACAAAGCCTTACCCACTTTTGCTCCATGGCAAATCACTGGTATGGCTATAATTGTGCAGTATGGCACATGTGCGCGGGATGCCCATGTTTCGTTGTCAGAATGTTTCAATATTTGTAACAAACATGCTACCAAAGCTGTAAACTTCTGAAATGACAGGCACTCTAAAGTTATTCTATTCCTGGTTACGCTACGGTGTTTAGCTTTGAGTTATGTCTTAGCTAAAATATGTTCTTTTGCAGTGATCCTATGCTAACAGGTGTTAGCCTACTTAAAATCTAAGTGGCAACAAGTCATTCTGAGATAAGTAAGTAATGACAACAGTGTACATCTTACCCAAGGTTGACTTCACTTATTTTATCTTCTGACAAAACTGTGGTGCCTTGTCTTTACTTGGATTGTAATCACAGGACCACATATTTGTTACCCTGTGGTAAGTATGCACCTTTTCTTATTGTGAGAGAGAAGATGAGGTTTTATTTTCTAATACTTGCATTGAAGGGAAAGAATACTCCTGGTGTTAAGGCACAGGACTGGGATAAAAAGGTTTCCTTCCCAACTTTATCACAGGATTCCTGAGAAATTCTCCTGCTACGTACCTCCGTTTCTTCATCTGTAGAATGTAAATCATAATATCCTTAGCTAGTTCATTCTGTGCTCCTTAGATGAACATACTGTATAAAAGGCAAGTTAATCACAGCCGTGGCACAAGATGCCTTATACAAAACTTAAAGAGAAATGTGTATTTACAGTTTATCAGTGCTCTGAGAGTTAGATTTGTTCCCTATCTCATGGCAGAGTGATTGCTGTACTGTACTGTATCTGTCTATTAAGTCATAAATACTTTTTATTCTTCTAGCCTGTTTTTTGTAATGCAGTGTTTTTGCTCATCATACATTGGCTTGATGTCTCAGACCGTATTGTTTGATTTAAGCATCTGCTGCTATTCAGAACATAGAAATGGAACAACACATGGCTGACATTGTTCCTCCTACAGGTACTCCTACTCCCCAGGAACCCAGCCGTGCATGTGTAAGATAAGGAAAAAACACAGGAGACAGCCCACTGAGGAAAGTTCTATATGCAAGAGGCTGAAACAGCAAGTAGAAAACAGAAGAAAGGTTATAAAGCAGCCAGAGAGCTGAGCTCATGTTCTTGGCCTTACTAGTAGAATGCTGCAAGACAAAGGGGTTATTTTCACCAAATTAAACTTGCAAATTTCATACTGTGTAAGGCTAACATTGTAATTCAAACCCTATGTCATTGAAAGTTAATCATTTACCATTCCTCACAGCCTACACAGACTGAGAACAGAGAGCTGTGAGCAATTAATTGATAATGTGTTACAATCCAAAGTAAGCAATAAGCACTTACTCTTCAAAGCTACCAGTAGGTATTGTAAATTGAGCTCAAAATAGAACCTTTTATTTCACCAATTCAATGTTCATTATATTATTCTGGCATAATGTAAATGAATAAATGAAACATACTAAATCAGGTTAATAATATTCTATCACTTTAACATCTAATTATTATTATTTGTATAGATCTTGAGATATTTAGACCCTACTTGGAATTTGCTGTATAATAGAAAATCTCACCGGCAATTAAAGAAGACATTGTCTTCACATATTTAAGTGTATTTCAATTTAGGTGAAATTTAGGACTCAAACAATTCAACAATCTTTTAGATTCTAATTCATTTTAAAACCAAGTGGTTTCTCCCAATGAGAATTTTTTTGTAAGACATGTTGAGTAGAACATAGGCAAATGTAGTTTTGTCCTCTCTTTTCTTGACCAGCAGAATTGATAAACTAATGAATACAGTGCCCTGGTGTGCTTGTATGGGGATGTCAGAGATGTTTGCAGATAAAAAGCAACCAAGCAACATGGAACTATATTGTGTTTAACTAGCAGCAGATTGCAGATGCATGCTCCAGTGGTCTGTTACAAGCCCCCTGTGTGACCTCCAGTGAGATATTTAGCCCATATCTATACTGATGAGTGTGCCACCAAGAAACCAACTGCCCACTTGCTCCTGTTTCATGCATGTCCAAGCCTGGCAACTAAGCAGTATAGATGGCTCAAGAGTGGACCTGAGCACTTGCCCTAGTGCATCTCTGGAAGTAGAAAGATTAACTAGTACTAGGATGCATGCTTAGCATCCAAATGGCTGCCACTGTCTAATTGCTGGGCTGCAAATTAGTGGATAGAACTGGTTTCTTGCCAGTAGTTCTAGGCTTAGCAAGAAGATAGTACAGACAGCTTTAGGCTTAGGCCCACAAAGATACACACGTATTTAAATCCAGAAGCACTCATGCATCTGCCTCCTAACCTCACAATGTCCTTCAACACTGAAGTATCCTAAATGCCTAAAGGTGAAAAATCTCCATCTTGACAGTGCTGGCCTCTCTCAGGTTCAGGCCTTGTCTGGATCCTCTACTTTATCTCATACAATTAAGCATTCCCAGAGAATGCATCAGAATCTATAAAAAAACAGAGCAATCACTGCCAGTTTTCTTCACAACATAGCAATATGCCAGGCCACCCTCCTGTCAAAGATGTGTCACTTTGCACCAAAGAATTAAAGAGACATTTTGCCCTAGTGGGAGAGAGGGTAAAAGTGACTCTCTAGCCTTGTGATTAGGGCATTCCCTTGAGGGACAAGAAGGAGATCTGGGTTCCTATATCCATTCCAGGGACTGTTTATGTAATTTACATTAAAGTGTAATTGGATAAAATGCACAAAGTCTTTGGAGCAGGAATTCCTCACAACATATAAGTATCTTAGTAGCATAGATTCATAGGACTGGACAGGACCTCAAAGAGCATCTAGTCCAACCCCCTGCAGTGATGCAAGATCCCCTATTACTAAACATCCCACACATATACCTGCTCAGCTTCTTTTTATAAACCAAAGAAGATCATAAAACTTCCCTAGACAGCTTGTTTCACTGTCCTACTGCTCTTACACTTAGGAAGGTTTTCCTAAGATTTCCTCTAAACCTGCCTGCATGGCCCTCTATGGCAAAGGAAAGCAAGGCTTCTCCATCATCTTTCTGGCAGACTTTCAAATATCTGAACATTACTATCATATGTCCCCTTAATTGCCTTTTCTCTACACTAAATAAACCTAGTTCCTCCAGCCTTTCCACCTATGGCTTGCTTTCCAAGCCATTTAGCATTTCTGTCATTTCCCTCTGAATCCTCTCAAGTCGTTGCTCGCTCTCAGCCATAGAGAACCTTGTAAATTGTACAACACTGTACAATTCAACACTGTTTCATTTTCAATAGAAGGGGGTGGAAAATGCCCCCTGTGCCTAAAAAAGCCTCAAACCTCATCTTTAGTGCAGTCCTCAAGATTTGAATTCACTCTGGCAAAGGACAAAACCAAAGTTTCTCATCCCTGGCAAATGGTCTAATTACTAGGTGATTGTACAAGAGGGACATACCACCATTACAGTTTTGAAAGAAAGAAGAGATACCCAATCAGCTTTGAAAGGAAGGGCTTAGGCACCTACATTCAGGAGAGTGTCAAGGCTGTGGATGTAGAGACAAACAAATTATGCTAAGTTAAAGCAGTAGGGGAGCACATAGCACCTATCAGCTCCCCCATGGCTATTGTTTTGCATGTCTGGTTTATCCTACAGTAAGTGGAAATTAACTGCTAGATAGATCCACCCAGTTTCACTTGTGGGTAAGCTGGGTCCATTAGCTGTCATTTACTATGGGATAAGAGCTGACACATGAAACCTCTGCTACAGAGTAGATGATGATAGTCTCTTCCTCCCGCCTCCTTTTAATTTGCATAATTTGCATCTCTGTCCTTACCCCGTGAACCACCTTCTAGGAGCATAGAATAAGGCACCTAAATTCAGACCCTTGCTGGGGCTTGAGACATACATTATCAAAGCTGCTAGCCAACAGGAAATGCTGTAGAAACTCCCAGCTGAATCTCATGAATCCCATTCTTAGGGATGCACTGCATAAAAGCATCTACACATTTAACTCAGGTCTGTGGATTCTGTCATGGGGGTTGAGGTACCTAAAAATGTTAGTCTGATCTTTGCCTTAGTTTTCCAATTATAAAATAGGAATAAAAGTACTTCCTTACATCACAGAAGTTTCTGAAGCAAAAAACAAAATTACCTGGATGGTTAGTTTTCTAATACTATGAAGGGGCATATAAATATTAGGGGTGTATGAAACAGCCTGTATTTGATTCGGATTCTGATTCAGCCTGAATTGGGGACAGTGATTCAATTCATTGATTTGGATCACTGTCCCAATTCGATTCAGCCAAATATGTAACTGAAGATTTGATGCTGATTCAGAGAATCAGCAATTCAGCCATATACACAGCTTTAAATGTTTTTTCTACATACTTCGAAGTACCAGGTGCGGCTCAAGAATGCTGCAATGGTGGGGCAGATGGAGCATCCCACAGGAGCATGTCCGTCCCCCCCCCATGCTCAGCAGTGAACTGAGAAGTGGAACGGCAGTGCTTCTGGTCCATTACTGAGCATGCTGGGGATCCCCTGGTGCTCCTGTGGGACCTCCATCCACCCCATCATCTCAGCATTCACAAGCCACCTGGTACCTTGAGGTATGTACAAAAAACATTTAAAGCTGTGTCTATGTCCACATCATTGAATCTTTCCAAATCTCTCTGAATCAATTTGGAAGGTTCCAATTCGATTCAGAGAGATTATAGGGGCACTTGATTCAATTCTGATTCCGAGATTCAGCTGCCGCATCGGGCCGAATCTCTGTTGAATCGACTCAGCGACTGAAGCTTCGCACGGCCATAACAAATATGTAGGATAGACAGAAATATTTTTTGTAAAAGAGAAATGGAGAGTGGAGAAATATTTTGACCCCAATACTCCCAGAAGCTCTGTGCAGCAAAAGAGTTCCACGCTTATGGAGCTCTGTATGGGGCTGATGCTGAAATACATACAGAAAGAAATGTTAGTCCAGTTTCTACAAAAATATTACAAACAGTGGAGAGCAAACAGTGTTACACACTATAAAATAGTTGAGAGCATCCATTTATCCAATACTGGATTTATTTATTTAATAACTGAATCCAGATTATTACTTCTTTATTTTTTATTACCATCACCCTCGCCAGGGACTAGGAGTCCAGTGGGGTCACATGTTACATTAAACCATTTTGCTAGACCAAAACTACTGCTAAAATATTTTCAAAAACACTTGTATAAAACTCCATGCTTCCTGCCTCGTGATACATGCACACTAGTCCCCATGGTACTAACATGCCAGTTTGATGGTTTCACATTAATTTGCCTTGCAGGAGAACTGTATTAATTGCTATACTCAAACAGAGCAAAAGCTGGTTCTTCAATATACCACCCAGAGCTCTTTCTTTGGTAATATGAAATTTAAATATGTCACTCTGATCACTGGAGAGCAAATGGAAACTTCCGTTTTGAAGACTATCCAGCTCTCAGAAATTAATTAATCCTAGTAGCTGCTTATAGAGGAAGGCATGATTTGAGCTTCTAGGAAACAACAGACTTTCTCATCTTAATCCCAGGGTAGCACATTCATAAAGACCAGGGGTGAAATCTTGACCCCTCCAGAAGTCAATGAGAAACCTCCAGTCAGTGTAGCATAATGAGATTCTACTCCAGATTTTAGTTTTCAAGTGGAGTTGAGTCCTGCATATTTTTGAAAAGATGTCTTCTAACATCTCTACCTCATTTTCTTATTCCACAAAATGGATTAAGAGTACATAAGGATTGAAGAGTTAACATTTATGCAATATTTTTGGAAGAGCTAGATAATAAATGGAAGCAATAAGAACCACAGTCAGTTTTTACCTTCAGACACATAGTCCTGCTCTGCCAGAGTGTGCCTGATTCTCCATTCAGGAGAAATAATTTTCTGTTGCTTGCATCACTGCCAGCCTAAAACCAGTGCACCTTATTAGAGAATCAGGTTCAGAGTTTCTTGTGCATCTGCAAGCTAGAAGAGAACCAACCTCATCAAAGAAGGACTCTTTTCCAAATCTTCAAAGGAAGTCCCAAGTACACCCCCTCCAATTCTGGAAGGATTCACCTCAGAGCATGTCTGCAAAGAACATACACGTAACCGATCTTGTATTGGTACCTGAAAAGCACGAAACAAGGTGGAACTAGAGGGCCAAACACCTAGAACAAACGATTTCCTGCTATTTACAGTGGAGTGGGATGATGAGACAATATTTAAAAATAAATAAATAACAATCAGGGTCACACAAAATCTCTCCCATGCAGGCAGTAGGACTATAGCTGGAGTGAACCCACCAAAAAAAGGGTTTCCATCTAGGAACTAGTAACCTAAAGAAAATTACAAGAAGATTGCTAAAACTGGTATAATTCAAATTATTTAGATGTACATGTGTCAAAGCTGAAATCAGCTGGTGATAGATATCCTTCCTGTATGCTGGGTTGCAAAATGTTGAACTGGTGATTAGGTTACTGTTGGCAGATTTCCTGATAGGTAGCAAAGGATAAGCTTGTCAATGAAGCTGGAAAAACAATGACATGTTCTTCTTCATAATGATTTATCCATACTACTGTGACCATATCCTAGTTCTCTCCCTAGATGCCTGTTCCTATGAAATCACAGTTAGGAAATCCCATAGCTTTTCTAACTTTTTTCTCCTGTTTCACTTGTCAAAATCTCAGTGCTGAGGTGGGAAGTGCTATGTTGATTTGTGCTGTGTTTCCCTCTCCCAGTCTTCTTGCCCACTCAAAAATACCTTCACCTGAGCCTCACTTTTTAATTCAGTGATAGCCATTTTAGTCTACTAAATACACTATGACTTCAGCAACCTAAGATTTGTTGTAGCATACTAGGCTACCCATCTTGAGTTTGTGGCACTGTGTCCAACAGTGTTTATACCTCATACTTGGAGAGGGACAGCACCCCACTACAATCTAAATAATCCACCAAGCCAATGATATGGAGTGTGTGTATCATTTATGATTACTAGGTAAATTCAAGACTGTTCAGCTGGTAGCCCTATACCATTTACAGTAATGTCTTAGCTGAGAAGACTGTGCTTTCTGAGCTGGAGCAATTAAGTTCTTTGT